GGAAGGAAGAATCAGTCAGACTGATAATTAGGCCCATATGCACAGACATGGTCATACTGACTGTTGAAATTTAGATTATTTTTGGCCCAGTGCAGTGGCTCACACCTGTAATCCCAGCACTTTGGGAGGCTAAGGCAGGCGGATCACCTGAGGTCAGCAGTTGGAGATCAGCCTGACCAACATGGTGAAAAAAGCCATGGTTAGAATGCTATAAGAAGGGCAGTATGACTGGGTGCAGGAAGAGAGTGGCAGGACCCACAGCCAGAATTCCTGGAAGGCAGGAATTTGGATTGGCTCTGGGCAGCAAGTGCCTTTGGTTATTGTGAGTTTCATATATCCTTATGCTTCCTTTCCTGGGCCTGGCCCAGCCCTTGATGGTCATTCTTAAGTCAAGGTGAACACCAGCTGGCTCTGTGAAGCTCTCTCTCCCTTTCCCAGTCAGTCCACACTAGCTGTCTTCTTTGAGCTAGCAGATGCTGCCACATACTTTCGCACTTAATTGCTCTCTAATTGTTTCACAGGTGCTGGTTTTGTCGTCCCACTTAGACCTAGGAACTTCTGGACAGCAGGGACTTGGTCAAGGCTGCCAAACAGCATGGACAAAGGAGAAGAGACAGCCCAGGCCTGGGGAGCTACCTGGGGCTGGAGTGGCTCAGAAGGTAGATTTGTGGGTTCAAGGTGGGAGCTGGGGGAAGATGAGGCTAAAGAGGATATGCTGGGGGCAGAATTCTACAGTGAAGGCAATAGGGGGTGCTATGAGTTTTGAGCACCACCACTGCATTGCACTCAGACTCCTCGAGGCCTCTGGGAATTGGCTCCATGTAATTTATCTAATCTGAGACTCTCTATAACACATAACCCATGCCTTCTACTCCAAGTTGGTGGGGCACTTCACCGTTACCTATAAGGACTTGAATTTCAATCAAGAATCATTTATCAAATGCCTCTTATGTGCCAGACACCAAATTTGGCTCAGGGGAGCCCTAGGTAAGTGAGACACAGCTCTGCTTCAGTGAGTGGGTCAAAGACCCCTTAACTCCTATGGACAATACAGAGCTTCAAAGAGGTCTATGCAAGGACTAATGGAGGACAAAGGAAAAATCCTCCAATTCTGCTCAAAAACTTGGATAGGGGCCTGCCAGGGAAGTCTTCACTGGAGAAGGTGTCATTTGAGCTGCTTCTTAAAAACTGTAGAGGATTGCTCAGCAGAGCATTTTGAGCATAGGAGAGTAGGCATTAAGTGAAGGAGGCACACAAAAAACGCATGGTCAGGCCGGGCGCGGTGGCTCATGCCTGTAATCCCAGCACTTTGGGAGGCCAAGGCAGAGGGATCACCTGAGGTCAGGAGTTCAAGACCAGACTGGCCAACATGGTGAAATCCCGTCTCTACTAAAAATACAAAAATTAGCTGGGCATGGTGGTACGTGACTGTAGTCCCCGCTACTCGGGAGGCTGAGGCAGGAGAATTACTTGAACCCAGGAGGCGGAGGTTGCAGTGAGCCAAGATCACACGAATGCACTCCAGCCTGGGTGACAGAGTGAGACTCTATCTCAGAAAAAAAGAAAAAAAAGAAAAAAAAAAAAGCCATGGTTAGAATGCTATAAGAAGGGCAGTATGACTGGGTGCAGGAAGAGAGTGGCAGGACCCACAGCCAGAATTCCTGGAAGGCAGGAATTTGGATTGGCTCTGGGCAGCAAGTGCCTTTGGTTATTGTGAGTTTCATATATCCTTATGCTTCCTTTCCTGGGCCTGGCCCAGCCCTTGATGGTCATTCTTAAGTCAAGGTGAACACCAGCTGGCTCTGTGAAGCTCTCTCTCCCTTTCCCAGTCAGTCCACACTAGCTGTCTTCTTTGAGCTAGCAGATGCTGCCACATACTTTCGCACTTAATTGCTCTCTAATTGTTTCACAGGTGCTGGTTTTGTCGTCCCACTTAGACCTAGGAACTTCTGGACAGCAGGGACTGTGCCTCAAACTTGGGTTTGTCCCAGAGACACTATACGCTGTGGCTCACACATTAAAGGACCAAGGCTGGGAATCACTCAAGCTTGGGGAAATCTGATTGAAGCTTTGGATCTGCCTTCTGCATTCTTTCCCACAATGTTAGGAGTGAAACAAACACATCTGGGTGCAGTAACTGGACACTGCAGTGCTGTCTGCTGTCTGAGTCTGTCAGCATACAGAAACAAACAAACAGGAGAGTTTTGCTTT